TGTAGCGGAATTAGGATAGTTTCGTCTGTAACGCAGCGTAGCGGAATTTTGATATTGTTGTGGAATAATTTGTTATCTTCGAGTTGGCAACACTTTTCTTGCGTTCATCATAGATTCATAAACATCGATTTCTTATTATCATACATGTATACATAAATATATTATTATTTATGATAACCCAAACATCACCTATAGTCCATTCCATTTAAGAATTAAGCGTTGAGTTAAATAGGATTTATTAAAGACCAATCACGACGCTTAAAATTGTGTTTTTTTACACAGGCCAAAATTTAAAACCCCTCTCTTTTTAATACGTTGGATGTTGATAGAACGTAGTCAGTGTTGCCACTTGTAACATAATTATCGAATTGTAACATAAATTTTTCTAAAAACAAAGCTTGAAAATTATATGTAGTTATATGTAACATAATCGATAATTGTAAGATAATTTTTAATCCAAGTATCTGGACAAAATTAACTTAATTCTATCCAGATTAATTAATTTAATTAAGCATAAAGCCTGATTTATAGATTTCCTTCCTTCCTGTCGTAACAGGTCAACAATACCGTAGTGCTGTTTATAGATTCCCGTACGGTATTTATAGTTCTAAAGGTAACGGTAGAGGCAGCGGTAGCGGTAGCCAAGTTGGGCATTGAATATTATATGAAACAATTTATAGTTGTCAGGAGTGCGTTCGAAATTAGAGTGTACTTTGGATATGGTATAAGTATAGGTCACAAAACTAGAAAACTAGTTTTGTGGTATAGGTATATAATCACGTGACTTTACATTATACCCAGTGTTGCCAACCCTTTTGCAAAAAATTTCCCTCGAAAATGTTCAAAAATTCCCCTTTTTCCCACGCTTTTTGAAATAAGCTGTTACCCGGTTTTTAAAATATAAGAGATATTATTTTGCAAAAAAATAGCATTTTAAAAATTTAGCAACAGTATTTATTAGTAAACCTATAAAAAACAACGCGTATAAATACAAAAATATATGTAAAATAAAATTATAAAACAATTTGCCATATTGATAAAAAAGGATATATCCTTATGCTTATATTTTTAAAATATGAAGGAAATCCTTTAGCTTTTATTAATGATTATATGTATACAAAAGCTGAAGGATTTCGTTCATATTTTGCAAGTATAAGCATATCCTTTCTTTTATAAATACGGCCTATTGTTTTAATCTTTAAAAGAATACATATTTTTATTATGTAAATCCAAATAAAGTTTTGTTACATTAAAAGTTATATATATTTTTTGTATAAAATATGAAGTCATAAAATATAAAAAAATCCGATTTATTTGATTAGAAAAAGTAGGAAAGGGTTAATTATAAATTTTCATTTTGAATTGATATAAATTTCCCTCATGGACGGCCTTTTTTAAAAATATTTCCCTTTTTCCCATTTGTCTCAATTTGAGGTAAAATTTCCCTCAAAATGGGAAATTTCCCACAAGTTGGCATCACTGATTATACCTAACCTCCTTGTTATTTTCGAACGCCGCGGAGTATATAACTATAGTAAATTTAAAAGTAAACTACGTACACGTCATCAATAAAACAAAAATTTTACGCATTGGTACCAACACTAAATGACTAAATCGAAGTCTGTAATTGAATATTTGAATGCATTTTAACCAAATTAAGTTGGCAAGAATTGTGATGTTGTCATGTTTACATTCAAATTTTTCATATTTAAATGACACATAAAAAAGAATTTGACGTTTTAGAATTTCGAAGCTGTCAGTTGTGTTTTTGAATATTTCGTTTAATTCGTGTATTATTTCGTTTATTTTGTTTGTTGTTTGTGTTATTTTATATCGTTTAAGTTTTCATTGCCGTTTTTGTGTTTGTTATATATCGTTTTTTTGTGTTTCCTATATTTAAAATGCTGAAGCATTTAAATAGTCGGAGTCAAGAGTTGGTGTCATCCTTAATACGCTATTTTGAGGCAGAACGGGATAATAATGGACCTTTGTTACCTTTAACAGCTGTTAGAGAGGTAAATAGGATTATTATTAATTATATATTAGAATATTTAACAAAACATATGTTGGATACTTGAAATAATAATATATATACCAGAGACTGACTTAAGATGGCAAAATTTTTGGGTTTTATATCAAAAAATGTCTTTAAAAATGGCTAAAAACATACTTTTGGCGGTGCATCATATAGGTTATAAAAACTCAGACTTTTGACATTTTGATATTATTCATGTAAACGCCATCTATCGCCCTGTAGTTGCACTACCACTTTCCCTTGATGCAAGGATTTTAGCATCACATTGACAACCGTGCCCGATCAGCTGATTGATGACGTGTACGTAGTTAACTTTACGTTGTAGTGTTCTAAAATCAATTGGTTTTGCTTTTTATTTGACTGAATACATATAAATATTTAATTATTGAATTTCAACCCTTTAGTTACCTATATGGATTATTCAAGTTTTTGTGATAGATTTTCTTTTGTTTTTTAGAATTTATATTTTTTAAATAATTTATTATAGTCGCGGCCAAATCTGTATGGGTGCACGTCATCAACGGCATATGACGTCAGCGTTAAGGTCTATTCATACGTGCCCAGACACAATCTAACGCTCGTGTATTGTTGACTGTTTATAGCGGTGGGGGCTGTTATTAAGATGGAATTATAACGTCCTTGTTATAATCTTCTGCACTAACTAATTAGGAGTTTGTTACAGGCAAATTTTTATTAAATGTGTTTAAAGAGAAAACAAACGAAGTTTATTACATTTTTATTACATATGCACATAACAAAAAAATACTAAATTATCAGAAACACAAAAATAATAAACTACCAGTCGTCCTTGTCATCAGAGCAAACCAGGTCAGAATTGAAGTCTGATTATTTCCCCAAATTTATTATTAAGGGCGCAATGTCTTCGAAACTATAGTTGCCAACAAGCCTTATATCATTGTTTGCACAATCCAGGGATAGAATCTTATAAACATCATGTATAATATTATTTATAATAATTTGCAACAAACGATTCTTCCGGACGAAATGTCACAATTACAAAAATACGTCAAATATAAAATAACAGCGACCCATCAATAATATTGAACGGTGCGCGCTAGCCTTAACCCTTTCAGTCCGGCGTTCGTTTGGCTCGCCTTACTGCACAGCCGGCGTTCGTTAGGCTTTGCGGATTCGTACGCTTCCCGGACTTAAAGCCACGCGGATTCATAAGTCCCGTACCCAATGTGAATTAAAAAACAAAAGGTAATTTATTTTTTATTAAAAGAAAAAATAGTTTATAAAGTTTCACATAAAGAAACAACGTAATTTATTGAAAGAACTAATAGTTTTTCACATTTAAAATAAATAATACGATTCGTAACGATAATACCCGATCGCTATAAAATTGTTTTTATAAATAAAACGAAGCATAACACATCATATTGTACCCGTGGATCCGATCGTTTCCCGGTCTCAATGCATCAGACAGCCGCGCGTTTAAATCCGTCTCCCGGCTGTGGGATCACATTAGGTTTTGCGGACGGATCCGCTTCCCGGACTGAAAGGGTTAAGCTATTACCAACTGGCACACACAAAAATTACCAAGTGAATGGTTTTATTTTGATAATTTCGTAAAAAAACGTTTTAAAACAAGGAAATTGTTACAGTTCTTGGTAAACAATACGCAAATAAATGATTTCATTTTAATAACACATCAGAATTACGCCTTAAAAAAGCAAATTTAACGGCAGTAACTTTACAATTCAAAGTTGGTAATGCTGACGTCATTATATCTCATTGATGACGTGCACCCATATAGATTTGGCCGTGACTATATAATAAATTCTTTTATTTTAATGTTTTTCGTTTTTGTTTTATTGAATTTTAAACAGTTATAAATAAATTATATAAAGGTAAATACAAATTATTGTTTGATGTACCCTATGCGCATGACAGGTAAAACTTTACCAAGTCTTGGACAACCGGGAGTGCACTCTGGGCATATACTTGCTGTTTTCGAACAGCTGACAGTTGCATATATCTAGGTAGGTATATACCAGAGAATTCGAACGCGCAAGGTAAACTTGGAGTGTATCCAGAGTGCACTCTTGCGAGTTTTCGAACGCGCTCCAGAGGTAGCGGTAAGGGAAGTAGAGGCAAGAACGTAGTGGCAAGAGATGACCATCTTTCACCTTTTCTTACCTCAACCGCTACTCCAGCCAATCACATGGCAGTGTTTAGTTGACAGCCTCGCCTTGTAAGTTTAGTGTTTAACGAGGGGCCGCCATTACCGCTACCGCTACTTTCTGAACTATAAATCCAGCTTTATAGTATTTTTAACAAATTTTATAATTTTCCAAAAAATCGATAATATTTTCAACCCTGCACTTTTTTATAATTAAATTATAATAATTATTGTAACATAATTATTACAATTATTGTAACATAATTTTCTGAAAATTCGATAATTTTATTAACCCAATTCGATAATTTCAACTTTTACATCTGGCAACACTGAACGTAGTTAAGAAGATTATATTCAGGAGCATGGAGCCTACACAAGGAGTCCAAACTGCATGTAAACAAGAATCTTCCTAAGAAAAGTAGGCGCAGGTGTACAGTTTATTCTAATTTGTACCGAAACGCTACCAAAAGAGCAGACGTCAGGACGCATCAACAATCAGCGCCGCAGGTGGTGAACAAAAAAGACTTAATTTGTGCAATTTAGAGGGCAGGTTTTGTCAATTTTCCCTATTAAGTTCGGGCTCCTTGTGTAGGCTCCATGATCGCGCCCTTGCGATTGGCATTATAATACTATTCACATGATCGCAACGTTGCCTTTCATATGCCAAAATATTGCGACGGAAAGGCATACACTCGATTTCTGTCAAAGGGTTAGGCAGTCTTCTCGACCTTAAAAATATTCCTCTTGAATCGAACGTACTTTATTTAAAGCATATATCTGAATAAATTTACAGAATAAAGTTTAAAGCAGTTCGACCAAGGGATTTGACGTAAAGGGCGAGGGCACAAGTTAATATTGTGATTCCTGCCAGAAAGTAGCCCCGGATTGCGCATTACTGCAAAAAAGTAAAACAAAGTATTTTCTTGTGACAATTAATAATTAACAATTATTGTGAAAAGTGGTAAAATTGTTTGTAAACAAAATTGTGCACAATATTTTATAATGCGAATTTAAACCTATAAAAATAAAAACAACGGTATGACCCAATCTACCACTAGTCCTTTTATGTCAGAAGCAGATATGCCAGAAGCTGAAAGTAGTAGTGTTATGGAAAATGCTAAATTAAAAAAGTATTCTTCTGGGTCATTGGGAGGTGATGTGGCTAGACCTAAAGTGGTAACAGTGAAACATCCAGAATCAAACAAACTTAAACCCACAGCCAAAAAGAATAAACCAATACAAGCCAATCTAGATGTATCCAAGGAGTTTATTAGATGTAGGGAAGAAGGACTTAAGAGATTAGACCTAAGCAAGTCCAATATTACACAGCTACCATCTACAGTCAGGGATTTAACACACCTTTCAGAACTGTATCTATATGGAAATAAATTAGCCTCACTGCCATCTGAAATAGGTTGTCTTACAAGCTTACAAACTCTGGCATTGAATGAAAATTCACTTACAAGTTTACCTGACTCTTTAGAAAATTTGAAGTCAATCAAAGTGTTGGACCTTCGGCATAATAAACTAAATGATATACCAGATGTGGTGTACAAATTAACATCCCTAACTACATTATTTTTAAGGTTTAATAGAATTAAATATGTGGGAGAAGAAATAAGATATTTAGTTTCACTAACTATGCTCAGTCTAAGGGAAAATAAAATTAAAGATTTACCAGCAGGAATAGGGCATCTGATTAACCTTTTGACTTTTGATGTTTCCCACAATCATTTAGAATCTCTACCTAAAGAAATTGGTAACTGCACTAACCTTTCCACATTGGACTTGCAACATAATGAACTTTTAGACTTACCAGATTCCATTGGGCAATTGCAACAATTAACTAGATTGGGCTTGAGATATAATAGGCTATCAACTATTCCTGCTACATTAAGTAATTGTAAGCATATGGATGACTTTAATGTTGAAGGAAATACTATATCACAATTGCCTGAAGGTTTACTATCTAGTTTATGTGAATTAACTAGCATAACCCTTTCTAGAAATAATTTCTTGGCTTACCCTTCTGGAGGTCCTTCCCAATTTACTAATGTTGACTCTATTAATTTGGAACATAATCAAATAGACAAAATTCCTTATGGAATATTTTCCAGAGCAAAGCATCTAACAAAATTAAATATGAAAGAAAACCAACTTACTTCCCTTCCTTTAGATGTTGCTACGTGGACCAACATGGTAGAACTGAACCTAGGAACCAACCAGCTTAGCAAGTTACCTGATGATCTAGCCTCTTTGCAAACCTTGGAGGTTTTAGTACTATCAAATAATCTTCTAAAGAGAGTACCACCCAGTATTGGTAATCTAAGAAAACTAAGAGTGTTGGATTTTGAAGAAAACCGTCTAGAGCAGCTTCCCAATGAAATAGGCCATCTAAAAGAACTTCAACGCCTTATAGTTCAATCAAATCAACTCACATCTCTTCCCAGAGCAATTGGACATCTTTCCAACCTAGTTTTTCTAAGTGTGGGAGAAAACAACTTAACTTATTTACCAGAAGAAATTGGCACTTTAGGTAATTTGGAGTCACTTTACCTTAATGATAACCCAACCCTACATAATTTACCATTTGAGCTGGCGTTATGCTGTAACTTACAAATTATGAGTATTGAAAATTGTCCTCTCTCCCAAATACCCTCTGAAATTGTAGTAGGGGGACCTTCTCTTGTTATACAATATTTAAAGATGCAAGGACCTTATCGTGCCATGTGATTTTCTCAGTATTTTTTTAACCATTTTCCACAACAGTAATTTTAATAAGCAAGTTATTAATATTAAGGTGTGCCATATGGGTTTGCTGATTCCAATAAGAATAGTATATAAAGGTCAATTTAGTCAATTTATTTTAATCCAAAAATTATTTTTTTATTTACAAATATAGATTTGGTTTAAATTTAAAAATAAGAAAACCTATGTAACTATGATTGAGCCTAAGTCCAAACCTCTTTTATAATATAATTAGATGTTTTATTTTATTATTATATTAATGAAATTCTGTTACAGAGCTACATTGTGACATATTACAATTTTACACTGTTAAAAGTTGTTCTAGAGATTAAAAAAAATTGGGGTAATAAAAACAAAAGAAATCTCCGAAGTATTTTATTATAGATTCAAGAACCCTTTTAATTATGGTATAGTAGTGTTTTTCTGGCTCATTTTGCTGTGGCGCAAGCGCCATGGGTTGCACTGCACATACTTTGCATTTAAATTAGGAAGAGTACTAAACCGCGGAGAAGATGTGATATTTACATAACAAACACAAGTAAGTGATAAAATGTGCAATTATTTATAATAGAAAAACATTTTTTTGTGCCATTAATGTCGGTTTCATATAGATGCGAAATACGAATTTTCACATTTCGCAACTACTATTTCATATAGATGCGATTTTAGGGACATTTTTTTTTCACTAGGCGATATTTTCCATGCTATTTTAGTTACTTAAAGTGACTATAAAGGTTAAATAAGAAAGCACCACGCCAAATTAGTGCGATTTTCGCAAAATCAATCTCCTAGATTCAAATCTTGCGAATTCGCAGGATCTGTCGAAACGCTTTTCCCGCCAAGCAGTGGCGGCTGGTGGATTTTGGGTATACCGATATCTCAATTATTAGAAATGGGACCCACACCAAATTTATATGAGTTTATAATGACATTAAATAAACAAGTTCTGCGCAAACAGAATTTAAATTAAAAAATGAAATGCTCGGCCGTACCGGCCCATGGCTCCCCTAATAAATATAATATACATTTAATTCGTGCAATTTATTATTTACCAAATTTCAAATTTCATTTAAAAAATCCAAATTATACAGATTTTATCCCATTTTAAATTTTATTAATTTTTTGAAAAGAAATATAAAAAATTTAAAATAGTATTAAATCTGTATAATTTGGATTTATAAAATGAAATTTGAAATTTGTCGATAAAGGTAAATAATAAATTATTTATTATTTACCATAGTTTATCGACAAATTTCATTTAAAAAATCCAAATTTTTATTATTTTTTTGAAAAGAAATATTAAAAATTTAAAATGGTATTAAATCTGTATAATTTGGATTTATAAAATGAAATTTGAAATTTGTCGATAAACTATGGTAAATAATAAATTGCACCAAATTTATATTCTATTTATTGGGGGCGCCATGGGGCCGCAAACTTCAATTTAAATTCTGCTTGCGCAGAACTTGCTTATTTAATGTCATTATAAACTCATATAAATTTGGTGTGGGTCCCATATCTAATAATTGAGATATCAATCAATTGGACCAATGCATTGGTCGCATTTTTCGCAACCCATTTGTTTGCGACTCACCCCTGTAAAATCTTTACTTATTGTGCGATTTTAAACGGATTTGTTTTAAAGTGTAGATCTTGATAAACTGTATTTTTGGAGCAAAATACTTCACAATAGTACAAAATACAAGGCCAACCATGTCAGTTTTTAAGAGTAAATTTTTAAGAATTCATATTAGCGATTTTTTTAAACAAAATCTAAGCCCGGCACTGGATTCACCACTCCTCAAAACGACCCTATACTAAATTTTATTGAAAAATTTTAAGAAAAAAAAAATGCACAATAATAACTACAAAAATTTATTTTGTCAAGTTATCCATGAAAAAAATCATTGAAATAAAATTGAACTTTCTAGTAAAAGTACCATGTTACTATTAGTTTAATTTTATTTCAATATTTTTTACATGGATAACTTGACAAAATAAATTTTCAATAAAATTTTGTATAGGGTCGTTTTGAGGGGTGGTGAATCCAGTGCCGTGCTTGGATTTTGTTTAAAAAATCTCTAATTTGAATTCTTAAAAATTTACTCTTAAAACCTTTCATGTACTATGCTCCACACCTCAAAGTCCCACCACGTGACCACGTACGGAACGCGGTGTTTTGAAAACTTGGCATTTAAGGCTTTTCAGGTTATGTATCTGTCAAAGTGTAGTCAAAGAAAGAAATAATATTAAGTTTAGGCATTAAAAATGTATAAATCTTTATAACATTAGAATAACAATGGATGGTTAAAGAATTTATGAATATAAATACTGCATTTAATGAAATTCTAAAGTGTATGGTGCCAAATAAGTAATATTTTTGTGCATTTGGTCCAAATATCTGGTTTTTTCCATAAAATAATTTTAACTAAACAGCATTTATTTAAAAAAATCTAGCTTCTCTATTATGGAATAAGAATATCTGTATTAAAGGTAGGTTAATATATTATAACAAAAATATCATCTAATTTTAAGGTTAGAAAAATTTATTTTGACCAAAATAAATAAGTATTTTGGATTATTTAAAAGACTGTATAATATGGTATTTAAAAATGTGGTAGTTTTTCTTATCCAGCTTAAAGTGTACCTACATTTGTTTTGTCAATACAAATACTTAGTCAAAAAGTTTCGACTGAATTTGATCTACATCGAAAAATCATTATAACTTTAAAAATTTTAATAAATCACATGTCATGGGAGTATTAAATATTTTCACATTGCAAGTTTCCCTAAAAATTGTTTGTTTTCTTATAATCTAACTTAAAGTAGGTATGCCGAGAGGTATGCACAAGTTTTGTCATTAGAAGTATAAAAGCTTCAATTTAATTTGAACCATTTTCAACAATTATTTGTATACCTATATTTATTTATGACCATATTAACACACTCTTCCAAATAATCCGCTTATTTATTTTGGTCAAAATAGATTTTTCTAACCTTAAAATACAAAATTAGATGATATTTTTTGTTCTAATACATAAACCTACCTTTAATACAGATATTCTTATTTCATAATAGAGAAGTTACATATTTTTTAATAAATGCTGTTTAGTTAAAACTATTTTATGGAGAAATGTAGACCCAATGCACAAAAATATAACTTATATTGCACCTTTGGACATTCATTAAATGCAGTTTTTATATTCCTAAATTCTTAAACCAACTATTGTTATTGTGATACTATAAAGATTTATTAACTTTTAACGCTTAAACATAAGCGGTAACACTACACTAAGAGAAATATCATGTCATGAAAAGCACATGAAACGATATTAATTCAAATAATCGGGTAAATTTGATTCAAATAGAAAAATTGTAGTTTTATTCATTTACCAACAGTTTTACAATGTTTTTAAACACTTTTTAAGTGTACTCTCTTTAAAATATATATACAAAAAGAAATCTATTTATTTCATTGCCTTTCTCAACGATATTTTAAAAATATATGTATTATACAATTGTTATACACCTTTTAATTTAATGAGAAACACCAATGACGCCAAAACATATTTGAATCACTTGGAATTATTATCGTTTTGAATGATTCTACAACATTTTTTCTCTCAGTGTATAAATATTATTTCTTTCATTGACTATACTTTGACAGATACATAACCTGTAAAGCCATAAATGCCAAATTTTCAAAAGACTGCGTTCCGTACGTGGTCACGTGGTGGGACTTTGAGGTGTGGAGCATAGTACCTCTTGTATTTTTTAAAAATATATCGTTTTTTGCTTTAAAAATACAACTTATCAAGAAATACAGTTTAAAACAAATCCGTTTAAAATCGCACAATAAATAAAGATTTTACAGGGGTGAGTCGCAACAAATGGGTCACACTGTAGATGAAATAGTTGCGAATATTCGTATTTCGCAATTCGCATCTATATGAAACCGACTTTATTATAAAATGTAAATTAGTAAAAAAATATATAAAAGTTGTAGAGGCGCCGCACAATGTGCCCAGATGGGAAAATTCCCGGACAACAATCGGGATTTCCTGGTGAAGTCATGATGATATCATAACGTGATTTTTTTTTTCACGCCGTGATATCCTGAGTGCATACACATGCTTCATCACAGTGATATCATGTAGAACTCACGGTGTGATATTTGCAAAATTTGCGCATGCGTAATAGCCCTGCGAACTATGAATTTAAAACCTAGTTTGTTACCTGTTGATTCAACATAACTTTTCTCTTAGTGTACGAACGTGGCGCAAAAATGATTATCAAAACAGCGTTGGCATAAAAAATCACGACATGATTTTTTAGGCTATCGGTCAAAAAATCACGACATGATGTTCGTATGAATTGTCTGGGTTCAATTAAAAAAGATATTCCAATGTTAAACCCGTACGGAAATCTATAAATGACACTACGATTTTCGTATTGTTCATCTTTTACGGAAGAAAGGAAGGAAGGCAATCTATAAATCAAGCTTTATGGATAATACCTTCCTGCACCCTCTGGACAAATTAGAGTATATATTAAAGACGTTTCCCGATCTATACTTATTCTATCCATAATTGGGTGACAAACAAAAACAACAATTTTTTGTTAAGAATATTAATTTTATGACAAAATAAAAATTTTAAAAAAAACTTCACTTTGACATGTTTTGTTTAATTTTATTGTAAAAAGTGTTTTTCTACTTCTGAAAAACAATTTTATTCGAATTCTATTTATTATATTAAGTTTATAGCTAATTTAAAATACTTAAGTTTTATTGCAAAAAATCACCTAAATAAGATTAGGTTATGTTATTTAAAAACTTAACAAATCAATAATTTCTTTATCCCTCCACTTGATTTCCGACGTACTTCAAACTGATTCCCCCGCACAGCATGTGCAGTATCGGTGAGGGGTGAGGAAAAATCTCAGCTCACTTTATGGTGAGTGAAGCAAAAAGAACGCGCACATTTGAAAATTTTGCCGCTGTGAGCTGAGATTAACTGAGATCTCAGGTGAAAAGAACGCACCTATTTTCTTGGATTTAAATTAACTATAGTTAACTTAAGTTTTAAAAAACGCACGTAAATATATTTATAATTCGTACATGCATGTATTGGTCTTTTAAAATGCCAATATAATTATAATTATAATTGCCAACAATTGTTTTATTGTGGAATGGGAAGGGAAAACCAATAGTATACTATATAAAGTTTATT